AACTATGTATTTATTTATTGTTTTAATCTGTTGTAAGCCACCCAGAGTCCCCCATTGGGGGAAGATGGGCGGAGATAAGTTTGATAAATAAATAAAAATTAATAAATAAAAAGAATAAGAACATTTAATCAATTCCAAGAAGGGTAGGGTTAAAACTAGATCAAAGTAAAATATTACCATTCAATATCAGAAAGTGGTATACAATTTCTATTGGCTCAAGGGACTTCAGGTTTTGTGAGGCCTGTCAAGGGCTGTGCTCTAATCATGGGTGTCTGTGCATTGGGTAGGCATCCACTTGCTTCTTAAAGCTTTATTCCCCACTTTTTAAAAATAAGCCTGATGTTTGGAGCCCTGTTTACCTCGGGGACTGCAAAAGAAATGACAGCAGGCTGGAAGTGGCTTAGGCTGCAGTTTTAACCACTTCCATATTTTGTTAACTATTATCTATCTCTAATGCTTATTTGTTACTTGGATGCCCCTTCTATACCTTTTTATAACATGAAATCGTATATATCAATGCCTTAATGTTTTCTCTATTTTGTAAAGAAGGTATTTTACTTTTTCCAATTTTTTGCTGTCTGAGGGAAACCTTTTTTGCAATCATGATTACCTTTTTATATGATACAATTCCAATAACATCAATGAATTCTTCGATAATTTGTGTCTGCTTATTTTTCCTATAACTTTAATATAGTCCAAAAGTACTTCCTCATGGTCTCTGTGCAATCTCACATACAGAACAATGAACTGACCTAAGAAACAATGAACAGCTAAGAAATTCTAACAGAAACCCCTGCCTACCTAGACATTCATCTGTAACAGCAGAAGAATCTTTCCCCTCCTCTCCATATTCTACAGGTAGTCCTCATTTAATGTCCACTTGTTTAGCGACCATTCAAAGTTATGATGGCATTGAACAAGAGATACTTACAATCGTGATTTGGGTGCTTGGCAACCAGCTTGCAATTATGATGTCGAAGTGTTCTGTGATCACATGACTGCCATTTGCGACCTTCACTGCCAGCTTCCAACAAGCAAAGTCAATGAGGCGGCCAGCGGGAGGTTACAAATGGTGATCATGTGACTGCAGGATGTTGCAACCACACAGGATTCGCCTAACGACAGGAACTGGGACTGCCAGAACTGCTGTCAAAAGTCAGTGCAGTCATGCGACATCACACTTTACAATCGCATTACTTAGCAACAGATTTCCAGTCCCAATTACTGTCAGTAAATGAGGATTACCTGCATTTTTTTCTGACTTCTGATGAAGAACTGTTGGAAGCTCAAAACCTGCAATTATTTTGAAAACGTCTAGTTGAGGTAATGGAAGTATTCAGTCAACATGGGTTTTTTTATTAGTCTAATTGGACAGTTTGTACTGCCAATAATGGGATGGATGAAAGTGAGAAAAGACAGTCACAGTGTTTATTGTGATTTGAAGCCTTAAGATTGTAGCACCTGCTGCCAAGGAGACCTGTTTCCATAACACTGCTTCTAATTAAGAAAAGAAATTTCAGGGCACCTGCTTGATTAGAAACAAGCAACATGGGAATATATTTGTGGTGTTCGGTATGCCAAAGCAAGGAGGTAGTGGATATACACCCTTATATGCAGGTGGGAGGCTAGTTTGGTGCCATAAACTGAACACTTTTAAGAATATGCTTGTGGCATCACAGGTACACATAAAAAAAATTAGGGCAGCTGCCAACTCAGAAATGTCTCCCTACAATACAAAAACATTAAGAAAAAATACACAGAATATGAAAAAAGGAGTCTGTATTCCATTATTTCAGAAGATTAAGAAAAGTTCTTGACAGTAGCTTTTTAAATATATGTACTAAAGGTTGAGGGTGAGCTTCCACCAATACATTTTCATTTGCTGTTATGTATATTCCAATACCTTTTTGCATGCTTTCAAAATTCATGTGTGTGACTGCACAGATCACTTCACTATCTGTTCAAGACCACACAGACATACCCATTCCTCACAATAACATACTATTTCTAGAATTCTCATGATTTCTTCTCATTCTATTTTCTCAATAACGTTTCAACTGATTTTAAAAAACAAGGTACTTCTTCACTGAACAAACTTAAGCATCTCTTATCTGATCTATTAACACACCCTTCTTTGGTATATAATAACAATAAAACAAATTATTCACCAGAGGCAAGCCTTGAATCCTGTGCCCCCCACCCCCTGAGTGAGCGGGGCGCTGTGCTGCTCCAAGGAGAGGATGTTTTCGGATTACTCAGACCAGGAGGTGGGCGTGGCAGCCCTGTAGTGTTTCTTGAGGAAATATGGTTTTTCCATAACTTGTTAGAGAGATGAGTGGGATTAGGTCCTATGGGATCTGGGGACCATGTTGATTTGTAATCATTGAATTTTGCTGAAACAGACACAAGGAAAAGGTGATAATTAACACTCATTAATAAATACACCATAAATTAGGTTCTGTTTTTGCCAAAGGCTATTTGTATAAAATGCTTTTTCTTTAAAAAAAAACAAAACCAATATAAGCAACACTTCTGGGTCATCTTTCATCACTCTACATTTGGCTAAGGAAAAAAAAAGGCAATTCTCTGGCTCCTTTTTGATCTTATTCCATAAAAAGATGGACCCTGACAAACACTCCATGCTTCTCAGAGGGAGAGATGGAAGATTTGGAGAAAACAGAAATTGTGAAGTAAATGTCTGGCATTTCTTTTACTTGATAGAGCTTCCCACAAAGGAGAGGTGCTCCAATCCTCCAACATGTATGCTATTCCAGACTACATTTCTTTCCCAAGTTTTAAATATTTGCTAAAGGGATGTGATGGAATTGTTACTTGGGGTAAGTAAGTTGTGAAACATGTATTTATTTTTGATACTCCTTAAATCTCTTTATTCTGTTACTAACTTCATTATTACATTCTATCAATTAATTACATTACCATTAAGACAAATAATGTCTTTGTTTCATCGGACAGCCCACTGAATAACCACTTTTCACTGTTCAAAACATAGTTTTATGTTTAAATCCTGGTTTCTTCTCATTGCTAGTATCTCCTGCAAATGAGAGACGAGTCCACCTTTTTTTTTGTTCTCTTACATGGCTTGAAAATGTAAAGCTAAATACCTGAAGTGCTATGAACATTTGTGAAAGAATTGTCAGAGGCACTGTAGGGCCAGGCACCAGGTGAAGGCAGCGAGGTGTTGAGGGAAGAATTAGACCCTATGGGAAATAAAGGAGGACAGGAAATAATCTTTGAAGAAAAAAACTTTCTATAAATGACAATGAATATTAGGAGCATGTTATAATCGTGTGTGTATGTGTGTATGTATGTATGTATGTATGTATGTATGTATGTATTTAACAGACTTGTCCCCGCCCATCTCCCCACAATGGGGGACTCTGGGCGGTTTACAAATTAAAACCATAAATACATAATTAAAAGTTATAAAAAGAACCACACTTACACG